TCTCATCCTCTCTAGGCATAGCTCTTCCTGTCTTCCCTGAATGGGTGTCAACGTCGCATTCAATCACCATGAACGGCGTCTCGCGCTTCCTCAGCCGGCGAGACAAGCACCATGAGAAGCGCGCATCCAAGAGCTCCAACCACAAAGTACGCCTGCTTTCCCCTTCGTCTGCTGATTCGTCAAGCCCTCTGTTATCCTCTCCAGATATCTCGATTTCCATATCTGCCTCTCCGCGGCCTAAGCCATGCACTCTTGAGCTGCTATTCCATAAGCTTCCGTCGGCGGTGCGGTCATCTGTACTAGACAGTCTACTATTCCTTCATCAAAAGACGCCATGCCATGCATTTCTTATACACGATACAATCTGCTCTTCCACCTCGAATCCTTCTGACCATGTCTTCCCACAGTCACGTCCCTCACAAATCCCCCCCGACCTCTACAAGATATTCACCAATGAAGACGCAAAAACTACCGCGGACAAGGAGGCGGACAAGAAGGTACGTTGCTCCAGCAAAGGCGAGGGCTGCTGTATTCATGTGACCAGGTCAAAATGCTCCTCTCGCGACTGCACGGCGCTGGAATCTCGAGCATGGGTGAAGAACAGGTGCACCATGCGCTCTCGTGGTACCCCGAGGACATTGACAAGGCATACAATCTTCTGCTGCTCGCCAACGAATCCATCGAGGGTGAAGTCAAGGACTACAACCCGGGAGTTCCTATGCTGGGAGCCATCAACCGTAACATGGTCACTTGCTACTTGGATGCTCTTCTCTTTGCCATGTTTGCCCGGCTGGACAGCTTCGAGGCCATGCTTTACGATAATTTTGATGACGAACCGAGGAAGAAACTCGCAGCAACGTTAAGACTCTGGGTCAATCTGCTGAGGACCGGGCAGCTCATACAAGTCGAATTGGTTTGTTCATGGACCCACCGCACATTTGCATTACTGATATGCGCACCAGACCAAGCACCTTCAGGATTCTCTGGCCGAGTGTGGATGGGAAGAAGCTGCTTTGGTGTGTCAACAAGACGCCTCCGAGGCCTTCACATTTATTACAGGTACTCTTGAGTTGCCACTGCTTACCCTGAAGATGGATATATACCATACCGGTCGGGAGGACAAGGAAGATGACCACAAATTCGTCAATGAGAGATTGCTTGAAGTGGCAATTCCAGAGCAGCAGGGTGGCCATGTCATCTGCCTGGAAGACTGCCTTGAAACCTACTTCAACAACCGTATTGAAGTGAAACGATACCTGCAGCGTCAAAATACAATCGCTTCTATCCAGTCACGAGAGGATGACTTCTTCAGCGAGGATGCAGAGAAAAAAGAGATCATGTATGTGGAGACCGTCGAACTTGCTGGACCCACGACACCAATTGTTGCTACTCCAACCTCTTTCGGCCCTTCGACCCCCACACTTTCTGGACGACCAACACTCAGCGGCAGGCGACGCGCAGATAGCATTTTCAGTCAACGGCCCGCTCACAAGTCCCCGGAAGCCAGCCACTTTGATGAGAAAAGACATTTGGAGGACATGTTGGATCACAGCTCTGGTGGTAGGCCCCGATCAGCCTCACTTCTTAGAAAGGAGATTCTGATGCCAGCCTGGCAGTTCTTCAGTCTCATCCGTACGTCTTGTTAAAAAATTCGTCTGGGTTTTTCTAACTCTCATTCAGCTTGGTATACGGATAATGTTCCACAGACAGATGCCCAGGTAGCCGCGCACTTCTCTGTAAAACGTCCTGTCCTGGGAATTTGCCTGAAGCGATACACCATGCTTCCAAATGGCGCACCCAAGCGTCTTGACACATATATCGACATTCCACTGGAGATTGGCTTGCCTCACTTCATCTCGGATGATAGGATGAAGGAAGAAGGTCCCTTGTTTGGCAACTTCAAGCTCGTTCTCCAGTCTGTAGTCTGTCATCGCGGGGTTTCCGTGGACTCTGGACACTACATAGCGCTTGTCCGAGCCGACTGCCACGAGAGACCGGGCACCTCGCACACAAACGAAGAGGATGCACCAGAGGCCTGGTTACGCTTTGATGATCTCTCTGAGCCGCGAGTCACCGAGGTCGATATCAAGGAGGCTTTGCGCGAGGAGTCTCCGTATCTCTTATTTTATCAGGTCCAGCCAATCGACGAAGAACTTGCCTCCAGAGGCGATCCTCCGTCCTACGCAGAGGTACAATCCGGCTTCCCTCCTCTTGGTCCGTCACGAGAGACACTGAGCTCTATGGCATCAACGCCTGCATCTGCGTCTACCACTGGCCCAGAAATTGTTAGTGACGGTGAGAAGATAACGCCATCGGACTTGAACCCTGAGCCGACCCCTCCAGAGGAAACTTTCACACGACTAAGTTTTTCAAGTAATGGTCGGAGCAGCATTGCGATTGAAGATGCCGAGGGCAGCGTATATAGTGCTTCACGAGGCCGAACGGAACCGCCTACACCTGACGACCAGAAAACTGGCTTCCTATCAGCATCCCGTCGGAGTTCTCGCGTATGGACAGGTGGTAACAGAAGTCGAACAGGGAGTCCCACCAATGAGAGTCGATTGTCACTCACGATATCTCGACTGACAGGCCGGGCCAGTAAAGACAAGCTCTTGTCGATTGATACCGCCGTCGAAGATCCCGTGATAGTTATCGAGGAAGTGCAGACTTTGGAGGATGGAAAACCAGGGCCTAGTGGTGGAAAGGAGAAGAAGGATGTTGGCGTCTCACGAAGCAAGAGCAAGAAGGAGAAGAAAGACAAAAATAGGAGTAAGAGCCGGGATGCTGGCTCTAGCTTGGAAAAGGGTAAGGGAAAGAGCAAGAGCAAGAACCGACCTGAACGGGAATGTTTAGTAATGTGAGCAAGGACGATGCAGCGAACCGGTCTTGGTCGTTGCTCGTATGTAAAAACGCGTTTGGGATTATTTGATGCATTAGCGAGGCGTTATAGCATACATCAAGGGTGGGTTTGGCATATTGAATACGCTTTGAAGGATTCTAGACATCAGGATAGGGCATACGGCACGCTAAGATCAGTTGCGATACCACAGTCTATGTATGGACTTCACTCGACGAGCACTGTTACTGAGCATGTTGAAATTGTAGCTATGGCATTTGAACGTGAATTCAGATAACTAGAGGGGGAGATGATAGGATGAAAGTGATGAGCCTTGAAGGTGTACAGAGCAAGGCGTTAAGACGTATCTAGAAGGGCGGCGTTTTTGTTGTGGCTAGACAGCCGTAGGCAACCTGGCCTCTTGGGTCGCGCTAAGATGACCCTCGCCTCACCCACGACAAAAGCCTTCGGTCCGCGTTGAACTTCACCCTCACTTCCACTACTTGTGCCCGCACCACCCATCTCGGACTCTGAGCCCCAATATCTGCCCACCTGCCAAGCTCTGCGACCATCGCATCATAAATTCATCATGGCCATCAGTCCGCAAATGTATGTCCTCTGCCCGGACACCACCCCTCGAGTTTTCGCAAGGCTAACACAACCGCGCAGAACCAATCTGGTCATTATCTTGTACGTCGTGTGATGGCCGCACAGGGCAGTAGGAGACATCTGACCCAGACACAGGGCCTTTATGCAGATTTCCAAAAAGGTGCCCTTTGACAATCCCACCGTCCTCAATGCCGTACGCGCGCTGTACATCACGTCCAACGCCATCATTCTGGGCATCTACCTCTATGTCCAGGCCCAGATCAACAAGAAGAATGGTACGCACCGCCCCCACCCGTCACGCTTGATCGCCCAGCCATGCTGCTGCAATTGAGACATCCTGAGCGAACACCAACTAACAAAGACGGACAGACATGACGGTAGTAAAGTACGTCGAGCCCGCGCCCATGGGATCCGGCGAAGAGCCCAAATTCGTAGCCACGACGGTCAAGGCATACGACTTGTCCAAATTGCGCGAGTTGTTCAAGGCCCAGCTCATGGGCGTGGGCATGATGGCTGTCATGCATCTCTACTTCAAATATACAAACCCGCTGCTCATTCAGTCGATTATCCCGCTCAAGGGCGCTTTTGAAGGGAACCTCGTCAAGGTCCATCTCCTTGGACAGCCGGCGACGGGCGATTTGGCAAGGCCCTGGAAGGCGAGCGGGGGTATGATGGGGGCTATGGGTGGAGGCGAGATTAAGACGGATAAGAAGAGTATCGAGGCTGCGGAGCGGGCTGGCCGTGGCGGTGTCAAGGACGAGTAGATGGGTTTGGGGGAGGTGTTTGGCACTTTGTCTTTGCTCATTTGGGCAAGAGCAAGAGCGAATGTGCGTTTGGGGAGAAGCCTCGCGAGAGAGAGAGAAAGAAGAGCCTTGGTGGTTCTAGTCCTCTGACGATGCTTCAACAACAATCTGTATAGTATGCGCTCCAGTATCGATGCCATTCTATCCACTCAACTCTTTGTCCCATCCTTGTTTGTATTCTTTTTTTTTATAATTCCTGTTCTGGGCCTCCGGTTCTGGGCCTTATCCGCGCGAGTTACCAAGTTTGTAGATCGACACAGGCAACCACGATAATCTGTCACAACAGTCAAAACTCTAAAGACCTTTGAACCCCTGTCATACTTTTGACTCCAAACATGCCTATCCGTCCCAAATTGATTAAGCATGGCATAGAGCAAAGAAGAAAAGACAAAGCAATCACGCCACGGGTTCGCGCTACTTGCAGGGAAAAAGTATGGGGTACGCCATCAAATCCGAACCATACCCGGCGGCCTCGATGGTTACAGTAGATAAAGAGGAAAGACAGCAGATGAGAACTTTCCCTTCACCTGTTCCTCGCGTTCCTCGCGTTCCTCGCGTTCCTCGCGTTCCATTTCTTTTCTTATACCTAGCCGGCACGCCATGGCCACTGGCTTTAGGCGACAACAGCGTAGATACAAGGTGTTGGTCATCCTCTTGACCAACCTCTTGACATTCGGCTACTTGTTCCACTCTGAAAACTCCAGACTATCACCGTCCTTGGACGTGCCAGGCGGACACGAGGCGCCATGTCCGTCGTCCCCCAACCTCGACGACATCGTCGTCGTCATGCGCACCGGGGCCACGGAAATCCACCAAAAGCTACCCGTGCAACTGGACACAACACTGCGCTGCTTGACTGACCTCTTGATCTTCTCCGACTACGAAGAGACGGTGCGGGGCCAGGTGGTGCGCAATGTGCTGCAGCACGTCAACGAGACGCTCGTAGCGCGGGAGCCCGACTTTGCCATCTATCGACACTTGCAGCAGCTGGGGAGGGAAGGGCTGGCGAATACGACGTTTGAAGGCAGCAGTGCGCAGGGGTCTGATAATCCGGGCTGGAAGCTAGATCGGTTCAAGTTCTTGCCCATGATGGAGGAGACGCTGCGCCATCGGCCGAATGCGATGTGGTATGTCTTTGTGGAGCCGGACACCTATCTGCTGTGGCCGAATCTGATCGACTACCTGGCTACGATGGATGCGAGCGAGGCGCTGTATCTTGGCCGCCGCATGTATAATCTTGCAAGCCCTGTGCCCTTTGCCTACGGCGGATCTGGCTTTATTCTTTCCCAGCCTGCGCTGCAGCGGATTGTGGAGCATAGAAACGCATATCTGGACGACTATGATCGGTTCACGGTGAAGGAATGGGCGGGCGACTTTGTGCTGGGCAAACTGGCGCAAGATGCCGGTATACCATTCAAAAGGGCCCTCTCGTTGCAGAGAGAACCAGTTTCAGAGGTCGACCCGTTGGCTCTACCGGAGAACCAGTCTCTCTGGTGCCTTGCGCCGGTTTCCTATCATCATATGCATGTTGACGCCATTGCCGACCTGTACACCTTTGAGCAGACCTGGCGGCGCCAGAACCCAGGTGCGCAGCTACAGTACAGACATATCCTTCGGGAGTACATAGTCCCCAAACTCAGCGACGACGACGTCTCTGGCTGGGACAATCTTTCCAGCGACACGCAGCCCTTGGGCGACGCCATTCCGACAGACTCGGCAGCAGATTGCAGGAGACAATGTCAAGCCAACCCGGACTGCCTCCAGTACTCCCACCTACACGGCGACTGCCACATCGCCACCCGAGTCCGACATGGCCGGAAACTGCCCCAGGAGGCGGGCCACGAGGCTATGCGCTCGGGCTGGATGCGAGACAGAATCCTACGGTTTGCAGACGCCATAGACATGACGTGTGACGACGAGGATGCCCGTCCGGAAGGCAACGGAAATAGAGGCGATGTGTCAGACTTGATTCTTTAGAGTTTGTGAGGGGAGGGGGGGTCGCTGATTATGCTGGGGTTGGAACGAAAGAGTTGATGCAAAGAAAGTCCGGGTGCAACCGCTCGCTTAGGTAGGACCCATCTACCTAGCCCGACATGGCTTAGGAGAAAAAAAAGTACCGGTACACACGCACCGTCACGTGCCAGAGGTGTGCCACTATTGATGGAGACAAACAAACCTTGCCGCAGTGTTGGTGTCCTATATACAGGAGATATTTTGGAGAAAGAGCCGGGCGATTCGTGAGCCAGAGTTATTTGCCTGGGTCACACAGTATGCTAAACGACTGGGCCCTACAGTAGGTCCCAGCACCTATGAGCGGGCCTTCTAGGTAGACATCTTCAAGGCTTGGCGCGAAGGCGCCCACGCTGACCACGAGATATCACAAGCATGTGCATGTGGGTGCGCTGGTTGGGAAGATAAAGGGAGTCCCATCAAGGGATAGGATGGCATGACTGGGAAACAGTCGCATGAGGAGGTGCTGGTGAGGCATGAGACGTGACGTGAGGGGGTGGTTGTATGTGCATGTATGATCTTGTTTCGACCATAGCATGCAGATTTAGGATACCGCTACTGTTTCAAACATACCCAGAGTATCCTGCATGACTACTTCGCAACCCCATTTCTTTGATCATTCAGTACTCATCTTTCATCTGCTTGATTACGATAATGCCATTACCTTCTCCCAGTAGACTCAGCATGCTCAAGCGTGCTAAAGGTACTATCAGTCACCCTTAGATCTTCCTAGGCAACCTCGTCTCCCCCCCAAGATATGGCAGTCCCGCTCTCTCCCTCGCCATATCATTGATCCACTGCCCATTTGGCGTGACCGTCTCGCCCCTGGCCAGCGAATCCGCCAAATAAAGCCATGCAAGAGCGTTGCCAACCGTGCCCACCTCATCACTAACATGCGTCTCTGCAAACGCCGACATGTTCACATGAAGCTCCTGGTTGGCAAACAACTCGTGCAGGTACTTGGCCACGGCCTCGGCATCACCGGGTGCAACGAGGAATCCAGACTGGCCGTGTTGGACCTGCAGTGGGATCCCGCCGGCTTTTGTAGCGATGATGGGCGTACCATGGTGAAGAGCCTCGCTGACTTTGACTTCGAAGCCCTCGCGCGTAGAGAGCTGGAGAGCGACTTTGGCACAGCTCATGAGCGCGTTGAGGATTTGGTCAGAGGGTCCTAGACGCATAACCACGACGTCTTCTTTGTATTCATGATAGGAACCTTTGAGAGCGGCTTCCGTTTCATCAAAGATGCGCGTAGCGTCTGGGTCGTCTACGGCACCGTGACCTGCGATGACTAGCTGTGGGATATTTTTAATGGGAGTATCAACGGGAAATTTTTGGCGGAATAGGGCGTACGACTGGAGAACGTCCGGAATGCCCTTTGCAGGATCGAAGCGCGCGATTTGTACAATATAGTCACGCTCTGGATAGACAAGCTGGCGCATACCGGCCTTGAAACACTGGGCTTTGAACTCGTGCATGTAGTACTGACTATCCCAGGTGCGCAGACGCTTGTTCAGGCCATCTTTCCAGTCAGTGGTCGCGGGTAGGTAGCCCACCTTCTCCTGCGTCACGACCTCGGGGACAAAGGCACGAACCGGGTGGCTGACGAATACATCACAGTCCTTGACATGGTTCCAGATCCAATTCCAGACCTCAGAGGTCGCGGTGCCCTCCCGATCAGCAAGGTCAGCGCGAACTTGTATATGGCTGCGGAAGAGAACAGGACGCGTAGGGTCACGCTCTTTTGCGAGCTTCACAAGGCTGGGCATCTGAGGATCGTCCACAATGATGACATCAGCTCCACCTCTGTCGCGTGGAGAAAGTGGGCCACCATATTCCAGCCAGTGGCAGCGCTCTGCTTCTTCCAAGGTCCACTGGTCCAGCTCGACTATTCGCTCGTCGGTCAGACGCTCATTATCTTCGGCCACACCTTGAAGGATGTTGTGATTGTCCTTGGTGAATCGAAATACCTTGGGTCGGCCATAGGGTACGTACCTGGCCCTATGTTAGTGAGGAATTTTACTATGGAGTAGGATCTGAACATACCAAGTGCAGTTGACACCAATGAGTCGTAGAAATCGTATCAGTGCGTGTCTCATCAGGGCCACTCCACCACCCTGAGGAGTACTGTTGAAGAATGCGATCTTTGTGTTGTTTCGCTTGAGAGACTCGGCGTACTTCATTGTAGCAGCCCATGTAGTCTGCTGATTCACGGTATCAAGGTAGCTCTCGATATTGGTCATTTGTGCTCGACCCTTGGAGTCGACTTCTACCTCATGACGGTGTCCAAATGTGATGCGTACATCCCCTGTAACGGTGAAGTGCCTATCAGTGTGTCAGCATGTTGAAAACCCAAATAGAGCGCGAACCTACTCAACAGTCTTCCTAGCCATGTGATCAGCCTCTTCATCTAATTCCATGACGGCGGGTCCTCGATTGGGCGCAAAAATGAAGGGAACTATGTCCAGCTTACGCCACAAGTCGACAGAGAGTTGAGGGCTCAGCTTCGCAAGAGTTTCCGTCAAACCGGCACCTACGGGCTTAGATATATGCACATCTCTATAATTGGAGAGATAGGTCGTGACTTTTTTCTTGATGAAGCGTGCGAGTTCGTCAGTAGTTGGTGGTGTAGAAGCTCTCGATCCGCTCCGAGACGATGCGCTAGAGTCTGCTCCACCGCCGAGTAGGAGGTCTTCGCTGAAATAGCTAATCCTCTCGATACCATCATGTAGCACGATCGCATACCGGTATACTCCTTTCTCATTCTGCGAAATGGAGATACCGACATAGAAGACCTGAGAGAATTAGCTATGCCAAATCTGCAACGTTCTCCAGACAAACCTCGATGCCTGTAAACGAGATGCCATTCTTGGCCCTCTTCTTCTCAATTGCATTCGCTGCCCTAAAAGACTCTTGTGTGGCCGTATGCCGATGGCCAGGATAAACGGGACGCTCTGGAGAGCTTTCAAGGTTGAAGGTGGCCAATGAAGACATTGTATAGGTGAGCTCGAGTGGATGTGAGCTGAAAAATAGCAGGATACAGTACTATCGAGAGACTATTGGGTAGAATCAGAGTCGTGGGGTAGAATGAAGAACCAAATGTCAAAGTGGCAGGCAGACATGGCCCTTAATAGGCAACCAGAGATTTGCCAGATCACCAATTTTGTGACTGCAGTGGCTTTGAAGATGCACCATTCTGATTGCACACGTGCTCCACCGTATGCTGTGACTGTCGGGAGGGGGCGATGATGGAAGGAAATTGCGACGCTATAGCTCCTGTCATCATCATCATCATGCTCTTTTTCAATTCAAGTCAGGAAACGGGCGGTGAATTGAATGACAGGGTACCACAGGCTACGTGGGCTGTGGCGATGGGTGTGAGGTATCGTCGTTAGCCTGAAGGGAGGGGAAATGGGGTGACACGATGATGTTCTTGAAAGGAGCTCGGGAACTGCGTGGGCGTGTGAGCCAAGGCCTAGCCTACTCATGGAAAGGAGCGAGCGTGGGGAAGCACATCAGACCGTCATCCGACGCAGCGTCGAGCGGTAGGGAAGGCAAGTTGCCTTGGGAGGCGTTGTGCTGGCGTCTTACAGGGAGAGCGTGTGGCGGGTCGTTTGACATGAACGAGTTTTCTGTGTTCTGCGAATGGTAGCGAGTGGCTCTACCGATGGATGACTGCAGGACACGTGGGGGGTGTCGAGGGACTGGAAGCTGTGGGTTGCGTGGGGAGTGAGTGGGGAGTGAGCGGACTGTGGCTCTTGGGCGAATTGATCACATTGTGTAACTATCGTGATTGATAGCTGGGTGGACAGACACTTTGGACAGACGGAAGAAGTGCTTAGTGACTAGGGTCCAGGTGAGTGTTGATGTCGTGATGTGATAGGTCAAGGAGGGAAGGCTGAAAGGAGTGAGTTAGCAGCCGTCGTCAAGTCATCGAGTGTGCCAACACAAGCCAACGCGAGCTGTGAGATAGTGTGTAGGAAATATATATATATATATATATATATATGAATGAATTGATATTCAGGTAGTAGGCTGCTGGCACGACAAAAGGGTGGTGATGGTAGGAAAGATGGATTGAGTGGGTGATTTGGCGTGCAACAGGAGCCGACGACGTCTGGTTGGAGAGAGATCAGTTGACGTGCTTTGGATTGGATGATTCAATGAATGGATTCCAAGGGGCGTGGCAATACATAGGACAGGTGCAAGGATACAA